TGAAAAATTTCTCCAAAACTAAAAGGAACTACAAAAGGAAATGGAGAGAGTACCGTTTAAAACTCATGACGAATTAGGAGAATAAAGCCTTCTCAGGCAAAATGAAAAAGTGGGGTATGGTAATCAATTTGCAAACTCGAACAAGGTTGTACAAGAACACATGCAGTCAGCAGGAGTCCACTAATGATCGGAATAATAAAAACACACCTACATCCGAATTCTTTTTGTGATGTAAGCAGAGATGCTGCTCAACTTCTCAGCTAAATCTTCACAGAAGAGACGATCTGCTCAACTTCTCAACTTCTCTACACTTTTCTTTGATTTCATGTAGAGACGATCTTTTCTCTACATCAGCCACAGAAGAGATTCGGTTCGGAATCGTGCTGACGTTTTAAATCTTCACGAGGCAGAATGCTTCAACAAAGGATTGAATTTCCTCGACTCCGGACACTTCCATTAGCTAGGAACTCAAGAAAGCTTGAGAACTGGCTCCATCCAGCCTCCATCTCAAAATCCATATCGTAATTAGAGCAAATAATCCAGAGGTCGACTCCTCCAAGAAAATTACAATCCCACAAGTTCATGATTATAATGAAGACACTGAATGTTAGGTGAGAGAATAAAATGTAAACTCTTTTATTTTTTATATTTAATAGTGATGGTATGTCTCCTGTAGAAGTAAATCTATTGAGATATCGAATCAAGTTAAATTGTGTTTGTTGCTTGTTGATTATCTAAGCAAGAGTATGGAAATTTATTGGTTAGTTGTATGTATGATAAGAGTTTCAATCCCCAATAGTGGTAACAAGTGCTCTAGGTTGATTTGGAGCAGTGTCTTGAGTCGTGGTACAGTGCTAATTTGAAGATTGCCATCAATGGATCATCAAATACACAATCAGGCCGTAGTAGCGAGAGAAATTAAAAACAGAAAAATTCTGGTTTTGTATCAATTTCTAGCCACCGGAGCGAAGTTTGGTCAATTGGACACCAGATCTGAAACCTACACGTCCAATTTGAATTAATGGTAAAGTTTCAGACGATTTCTACCATTGGATTTTGAGATATCGCGTTTCAAATTTGGCGCACGTTGGACCGTAGGCTTAAGTGTGGAAAGTGTTCGCAGCTAGGATTTTAGCGTAGGCGCCATGTGGCAGAAGAGTGTGTCATGTTGTGGATGTGGCATGTGTCAACTGTTTAAGGTGTTGGGGTGTATATTGAGTGTGCTCCACATTATTATTGAGAGTTTTGAACGGTAAAAGTCAACGTGTTGAGTCCCTTTCCCCTTAATTGACCACATCATCAAATTTTCAAAGAGACCCTTTATCCTTAATTTTGATGTGCTAAGTCCATTTTTGACATTGATTTTGCCAAATTCGACTCATATGAGTCTGTCTCAATCGTGTGAACTGTTATATATAGGGGCACAGGAGTGTTGAAAATGATGTGGAGATTAGTGTGTGCCTCCCATCATTGTGAAAGATGAAAATTCCATGATGTAGTAGAGTCGGAAGTTCCAATATTTACTTGAAAACGAGAATCTTGATGAAAAGATGTTCTTTGACCGTGCTAAGGACATGAGACGAGAAAAGTATTGCAGACTGCAGAGGAGTTTCGAGTTAAACCATGTGGACTCGTGTGTAGTTTCTTGTGACGAAAGTCTTCCTGATTGAGGTGTCAGGTGGCGTGTTGGTATTAAAGAGCGGTGGTACAAGATGATTAGATCCTTTGGTTTAATTTTGTGGTGTTTTGTAACTATTTGGCTGTTGTATTAGTGAAGAAGTGATGCAAGACAAGAGATGGTTGAGTTAATGTACTAGTTGAGGGAAGCGTAATTCTTGAGTGGTTGTGATTGTTTTGAAGCACTGCAAGTCAGTGCTTAGAGGTGACTGTTTGAAAAAAAAAATCACATCTTTTGTTGGTGTCATATCATGATGGATGAGAGGATATGAGAGGGAATGTCCAAGGTGTGGAATGATATTAATCCTAGTCTGTTCCTATGGTATTGTTGGATGAGAAAAAAAAGGTCATGTAATTGGTTTGACATTCTCACACGTGAAGAGGTTGCCTATTTTTCGAAAAGCCAGTTGTTTGAGATACAAGTCTAGTGGTTCATTTGACGTTTTGAGAGAAGAGCTCAAGCTAAAGATAGGGATACAATTTTTGTTCTTAGAAGATGTTGTCATTGGAACTTTGAGTCAAGGGAGACAATTTTTGTTCTTAAAATTAATTGGAGAACACAATGTAGTCGTCAGGGAGATATTGTTTGTTAACTAAGTGAGAGAACACACACACTGTAAGCATAGGCATAAATGTAAATTTATTAGGACATCGAACCATGTTAACTTTTGTTTGATATTGGTAGATTTTTCGAGTCTCGTGAATGGAAAGAGCAATATTGGGAGATCTTTCTCTTCGAAAAGACACCGACCTATCTCAGTGCAAATTAGTCTGAATGCAATGCACTTAAGACATCATGTGCAATATAAAAAAGAAAACCGATCCAAGCCCCACCAGATGGTTAATTATGATTATCTACTGTTTTCAAAAAATTATGATTATCTACTTGTTGCATTATGCTCCTCTATAAATCCCACCACAAAAACCATTGACTCGAGTCAATGCATAAACAGCGTTGCCAATCAACTTAGAGTACTCTTTTATTCGCTTCAGTTGTTGCACCGACAGAATATTCTAGTTTGATTTTCTAAGTTAATTTAGTCAGTTTAAATCCTAAAAGTAAACATTGGATAAATGGAAAGTAAGCATGTAATACTTGACCTGAATGAGTGAATGTGTAGATTAAATGGTTTTGCGTTAACTAGCTGGTTTCAAAAACACCAAGCATGATGGTTGATAGGATCATGCACAAATTCCACACATATACCATCGCCAATGTTCTTCAATTCGCAAAATAAAATGTTAGGTCCATTCAACGATTTTGTGAGAATAAAAAGTAAAATAAAAATAATAAAAACTTCATAGAGGGGATGATAAATTATGTTGGCAGTATAACCATACACATCAAAACGCACCTACGCAACTTCTATTTTTAATCCACAAAATCTATGTATGCCATCTTTGATTCATCAGAAAAAGAATTCCTGCATAAAAGGATTACTTACAATAAAAAAACGAATGTAATCAGCAGTACATAGAAATGAAAAAAAAAAAAACCCGTGTGATGATTCAAGCACTTCTTTGATCATTAGTTCCCCCTTTGCTTCCATTTCTCGCGTTCTCAAAAGCTGTGTTTGAATATCCCAAGTGGGTCCGCTGATTGCACACAAAGCAAGTCTTATTTCTTTCATGATGCTTCAATCCCAAACCCTAAACCCTTAAAACGAGCTATGAAGTTTTCATGGCTTAGGGTTTGAGAAGTGCAGCGAATTTTTAGCTGCAGATAGCTTCTTATCCTTATGATTCACCCTTAAGAGCGGGGCGAATTCTTCGGTACGTGGCTTCTGCATGCAAACTTATTTCGCACGTCAATGTAAGAAAATGTGGGGTGCTTGACTTTAGGGTGTCTCAAACTCAAAGTTGTAGGAGAAAATAATTCTAGGGTTTTAAAACTGGACATTTATATACTTCTTGCGCTTTGAAAACGCAAAAATAAAAAATTAAATTAAAAATTTGTGTTTGTGAAACGCGAAATCTGTTAATAGAATTAAAAAAAAATTATTATTTGCACAAATTGATCCAGGAAATAAGAAAGAAAAAAAGGAAATAAAAAAGGTAAACAAAAAATAGCTTTTTGAAAACGCGAATTTTCTTTTTCGCGTTTCAAAAACACGAAAATGCTTTAGCGTTTAAAAAACGCGAAAAGATATATATTTAAAATAAATTTTTAAATTAATTTTATACAATTTAGCGTTTTGAAAATAAACCAAATATTGTGTCATTTTAGCGTTTTGAAAACGCGAAAGTTAGTTTTAGCGTTTTAAAAACGCGAAAATATCCACAAAATCTCCTCAACCACTCATTTGGCCCCACGTGTATTTTGCTGATAAGATCTGAAAGAATTCGCGTTTTGTACGCGTTAAAGTTAAAATACACATAACAAAATAATAGCATTTCTTCCCAAACCTACCTTATTTCATTCTGTTAAGCTCCGAATTTGAGTTTCACTCCGGAGGACTTTGGCTGAATCCGGTAAAGCTCTCATTTCCTTCAAATTGAGAAGTTGCTCCTGAAGTCAATTTAAAACTCAAAGTTTCAACATTCAGGTTTGTATTTTTCGTTATAGAAAACATGTAATAAAAAGTATGTTTTTTATTATCTTATATTATATATATTAATTAAATCCGATTCAAAGCGGGAAAAAAACACATTCCCATAGTTGTAATAAAAGTCGGATAACTTTTTGGAAGAGGCAAAAGTTGAGTAATTAAAATTCGAACACAAATAAGAGGACTGATTAGAATCCAAATCAACTGACCGGCGAAAGGCAAATTGAGGGCGCTATAAATACCAACTATCCAACCCCAAATCCAAACCACCAAATTCGAAGCATCCATATATCATATATCTTCGTACGGTACGTCGTTTCATATAATTTTTCTTTTTTTTCTTTCTTTCTGGTGTGTAGAATAGACCAGTTTTATAGTTGTAACTAAAACGGTTTATAGTTTTATATATGATTGCATGTTATCGTTAATAAGATTGACTTGTTGGTATATGCATGGCAGCAAATTACAGTAGCAAAATTTTCTAAAATCTCTTGACCGTACGAAGAACATTGACTCTTGAATTTTGCTTGGATTGTATTTTAAAGCTTTTACTTTAATTCGTGAGCTATATTTCTCAAGATATTTTTACTAGGTTTTTAGTGATATAATAAACAGTGATGAAGAAGCTCACGCAGCTCGATCGTCTATTCTCTCTTTTTCTTTTCTTTTCTTTTTTCAAGTTTTATTTTGTATTTATGAGTTCTGACTTGTTTTTCTTTCTGTTTCAAGATTTTCCTTCCTCAGAACTTCAAGCTTAATTTGTAATCACCAAACATGCATCAGCACGTTCAACACCAGGTTCGTCAAGGTGTGGGAATCGTCGGTATGTATTGCACGGCCAATTCTTCGTTTATTAATTATTTATTTATTTTGCGTTTTTTTCCCTTTAAATTCGGAATGGCGTTCTCTTTGGAATTTATGGTCTTCACCATAACGAAGGAATATTGAAGTGAAAACGAATTTTGACTCCAAACATGCTTTCGGTTGATTGCTTATGGCTTATGGTTTGAGTATACCAATTATTTGATATGGTCGTCGATCTTACTAACTATATTTTCTTAATGATATGTTAAATTTTCATTACTTGCAGGCAATGTCATCTCTTTTGGGCTGTTCTTGTCACCAATGTAAGTATAATAATGAATGATTTTGTTAATTATTTTTTACAATCATGATTTAATAAATTATAAATACTTATTTTATATATATGCAGTCCCACGGTTTTCGGGTTTTGGAAGAAGAAGACAGTGGAAGAATTCCACCCATGGACCTTTGTGTTTGGAATCTTGAACTGTTGTCTCTGGATTATGTATGGAGCTCCAAAGATTCATCCGGACTCCACCCTGGTCTGGACGATCAATTCTGTTGGTCTTGTTCTATACGTTGTTTACCTCAGTATTTACGTCTGGTATGCTCCTAAGCCAAAGATGCTTCAAGTCTTTGGCTCGGTCGGCGCGGTCGCCATTGTGGACGTGATTGTAGCTTTACCGGTGCTACTTGTCGTTCACGTTATCAAAACTCGAACCCTAATCACCGGGATCCTCGCCGTGATTTTCAACGTGTGTTTGTATGCGGGACCTTTGACTGTCTTGGTAAGTCTATCTTAAGAACCCTAGTTTTTTCGTTTGTTTGAATTTGATCTTGTCATTGGATTGCCTTCGGATGTTTTGTTTTTTTTTTTTTTTCCTTCTAATATTACGTATGTTTGAATGCAACAGGGAACAGTTTATCGGACAAAGAGTGTGGAATACTTGCCAATTTGGATATGTTCAGCCAATTTGGCTAACGGCATTATTTGGTCCACTTATGCATTGCTCTCGGCTCCCATTGACCCCATGATCTTGGTGAGTTTTTTTCATTTAATTTTTCCATTGATAAATAGCTTTTTGTAAAGTATTTCCTCTATCTCAAGAAAACCTTAAATTTTAAATTTTGTACTAAAAACAACTCAAACTCAGATAGTATATGTTTTATGGGCACTTTACTTATTTTGAACTTTTTTTCCCCCGTGAATTTCAGACTGGCAATGGAATTGGAACAGTCTTAGGATTAATCCAAATTGGACTCCATGTCTGGTACGGAAGTTGTTGGGGTAACAGGAAGGTAGCGAGCGGCGGCGACGACCTTAAGAAGCCCGATAAGCCATCGGAAGTCCAGCTTGAGACAGTTAAAATAGTGGTCTGATCCTAATAATTAGATAGAAGCATTTTGCTAAGACTGTCGTTTTTGGTTAAGTTTTCATTGTGCGTTTTGTGGTCAATTCAAAGAGTTCTGATCACAAGCGAGAGGATTTTTACATGTGACTACTGGTTCTTATTATTATATTTTCAATAAATTACTCATGGTAGGATTTTTTTTCCTTATTATTAATCGATCATATATTCTAAGTGGTTTTTTTTTAATTAAAAATAATATTCATTGCTTGTACAAGAAAACAAGGGTAATCTAATTACATTCCTTACAAATAGTTCTTACAGTCCCCCTTAAGCGTCCTATCAACTATAAATAGGTTTGATTATCCTTGTGTACACTTACAAGGTTTGGCTACACTTTGTCTTTCATTTACCTGAAAGCACTGCTTCTTCTCTCTTCAGATATTTGCAAAAATAAAAAAAAAACGAATCACTCGCATTTGTGTTGCGCGTTCGTGGTTTGCACCTTTGGTCGTCTTTGTTATAGTTGAAACACGAGCATTCGGTTTTCCTTACAGCTGGCAATCTCCGACACGATCCGAAATTTTGACACGAACCCAACACGAAATAATCGGGTTCGGGTTGGAATTTTGAACCCGTTTAATAAACATGACGGGTTAGGTTGACCTGTTTATTATACGGGTCAGGGTCGGGTCAACCCATCGGGTTACACGAATCACCCGTTTATGTGTAGTTTATATATTTTTTAGGGGTATTTTTAGAATTTCATAACATTGCTAACCCTAATCTTGATAGTATATATAGCATTGATTCATTAACTTTTTAATTTTCCTTCGGGTCGGGGTCGGGACAACCCATCGGGTAACACGAGTCACCCGTTTATGTGTAGTTTATATATTTTTTAGGGGTATTTTTAGAATTTCATAACATTGGTAACCCTAATATTGATAGTATATATTGCATTGATTCATTAACTTTTTACCTTTTCTTCTCTTTGCGGCCACCGAACCAAAAATATGCAAAACAGTATTCTCTCTTCTTTCTTTAGATCGGCGGCATCGCAGGAAACAATGCTGTCGGGGAGGGCTTTGGCCTCTGAGCAAGGAAACAATGACGTCACTGCGGGTTGTTGCTGATGATTTGGCCTTCGAGATCCTTCCCAATCTTTAGAGTGTGCTCAAAATTTTTCAATTAGACGGGGTCTTCATTTGTCTCTAAAGGTACGTCTCATCAGTGTTCGATTAAAATCAATGTTAATCTCGTATCTATTCTCCTATTGAGTCTATGTTCTTCGAGTCCCTATTTTGATATTAATATGATAATTTTTATTTTGGCTGGTGTGTGTTTTGAAAAAAAATAAATTGTATCTGTTTGTTTGCACGTTTGTGATGGATCAAGGGTTCCCTTGTTTGCTCTGATTTTTTGTTTTTTTTTTTTTTTTGTTGCTGATTACTTTGAGGTGTAGATTAATATTGTCTTCTGATAACGCAGAAATGTTGAAAGTGGTTACTTCGTGATAAAGCATTCGAACAAGATGAAGATTGAGAAGCTTGTAAAGGCCTAGTTTTTTATGTAAATTTTTGAAGTCATTTTTGGAATTGCCTTTGTAACCTTGTGTCATTTCTAAAGTAGAGTTTGTAAATTAAATTGACAATTTGCAAAGTGCTATTACTGGCTATGATTGAAGTTAGAGTATTTGTGGTTTATGAATGGAGTTATTATTCATGGTGTCATTGTTTGGCATTCAGGTCCTCTACTCTTTGGTTCTGTTTTGCCCATTTTCTTGAACTGTCGTTTTGTTTTGCCATTATTTTGAATAAAAAAATTTATTCAAAAACTTTTATTTCACTGGTTAAACAGATTTACCCGGGTCGACCTGATTTTTATAATATCGGGTTAGGGTTGGGAAGCCTGATCTATATACAGGTCGGGTTTAGATTTGGCATAATTTTTTCGGGTTCGGGTTCGACCTGATCTGCCAACCCAAACCCGATACGGATTGCGAGACCTAGTTTCCCTAGCGAAATAACTCGATTTTATATTGCTCATGTCATTGTATATACCAGAAAAGACACATTCTTTTCAACCATAAATTGATCTTTGCACCTGCCAATATTACGCAGAATTGTTTTTCTTAATTATTGTTCTTTTTCATAAGTGAGGAAGAATCAATACGAACTAGAAGACGGCTAATGTAAATTCAGGGTAATCGAGGAGAAAATGTTCACAAATAATGAATGGTTTGTTAGGCCTTAATATAATTAACAATATAAAAAATTTGAAAAATTTTGTAGAAGTTGATAGTAAAATTCAAAGATGAAAATTTTTTGAATTTTACTATCAACTTCTAGGGGGATAATCCAAAGATGAAAAAAAAAGTAAAATCCGTTTTGCTACAAGTAAAATATGTATTGTTAAACGATTGAAACTGGTGTCTTTATGACAAAGTAGGTACTCTAAATCTCTGTTTTCAAAATCGGACCGGCTTGGGCGGTCTAACCGGTTAGCCCAGAAACCGAAAGCCTCGCCGATCTGGTTTTCATAAAAACCGAATTCTGTATATCCCAGTCAAACTCGGTCAAACCTGGACAAAACCGTGGTTTGATCGGAAACTGGTACCGGTTGAATCGATTTTTGCATATATTTCGTAAAAAAATAATTTTTAAATATTTTTTAATATTATTTCAACCGGTTTTCACTGGTTTCGATGAACGAACTAACCCGTTAACCCGATAAACCCATCAATCTGGTCGGACTAACAGTTCACCTTCCGGTCCGGTTTTGAAAACATAGCTATAAATAATCTAGTGTAAGTGGTTTGTTAGTTGGTTAATCTGAATTTTGTCCAATATTATTTTGGAGTATTTAGAACTAAAATAATTCATTATTGATGATTATAGAGAAGATGCAAAATAATAACTTATGTACGGAAATATTATAGGCAAAAAAATTCTAATTGTCGAAATAAATGCGGGAAGTATACTTGTATCTTATGTGGTGTTGTGGTCGAATATCTCTCAGTATCTTATGTGATTAGCGTCCGTCACACAACCATTCTATTAATTACTAGATTTTTCCGGCCCGCGATTACTCGCGTGCTAGATTTTACACTTTAATAGTTTTAATATGATTTTGGCTTCATTTTATTTTAAATTGAGTTATTCAAATAAATTCTTTAAATTCAAATCTCTTGAAGTATTGTCAATTTTTACCATCTCATTCAATCACCTTTTTTATTTTGGTTATATTTATTCATTTTTCAAAGTAGAGGTAAGGTGGACATTCCATAAGAAAAAATGTAATTGAATTTTTGTAACGCTTTTGTGTTATTTTATAATAAAAATAGATGTAAGTTACTATTTTAAGTTGGAAAATTAAAAATGTATGATAATTGATGGTTAGACCTTTATGGAATTGACCAATTTTTTAATAAAAAAATATTTTTATAATGTACAAAAGTAGACTATTTTTCTGTTATGTAGAGATTATTATTTGATTGTAATAAAGGGTTAAGACATTTTTGCATTAGTGTAGAAGATCGTGGATAGAATTTTCATATTATTTAAACTTTAAAGTGTCAAAAGTTAAGAACAAAAGTAAGAAGGATTTTATGGTAAGACCTTAAGAAAATACACAAATTGATGAATTATGTCATTCATTGCTTAATCCTTATACTTAAATAAAAGGCATAGTAGCCAAGAAATAATGCCTAAGAAATATTCAAGGACCACCGTCAAATCGATCTTGTCCATCAGATTGGGTTGATATGATGTCAGCGACTTATTAGGGTTAAAATTGTCAAATTACGCATTTAAACCATCAAAATAATTTATAATCTGTAATGTACTGAATTATTACAAAAAAAACCCCAAAACGCAAATAAAAAAAACCCCAAACGCAAAAAAAAACCGACCCCGTCCTGCTTTCTGTCGTACTCAACATTTTTAACAACCTCCTTTGTCGCTACTCCCTCCGCCACCCACCTTCGCACCTTCTCCTCCGCCACCCACCTTCGCACCTTCTCCCTCCGCCACCCTCCATTAAAAAAATTCTTCCTTCGTCGCTTCTTCTTTCGGCCCCCTCAGTCTAATAGATCATCCTCTACATTTCCGGCAGAATCTGACTCTCCGCTTCTCCATTTCCAGCGGCAGCTTATCCACCAAAACTATCGCACCGCCGACGGCGTTCCTACCAATACTTTGAACATGACATTGGCTGTGTAGTTAATTTGGGCCTCCAAGCAACGATTTCCGTTCTTCTTCTTCAAATTGGATTAGGAAATCAGCAAAAAAAAAAAAAAAGAAAAATTCCCAATTCAGATTCGTCCCTATCTTTTACAACCTAATCGAATTACAAATTCAATTACGGTAGGAAATCCCCCAAAAAATAGGTAAAATTTCCAATTCTTATTCGTCCCCTAATATGTGAATCCCAATCGGATTACAAACACCACGACGGCATCCGCTCTATAAATACAACAACAACCCTCACAAATAGAATGGCATCCCAATCGGATTTCCAATTACGGCATCCCAAAAATTCTTGCTTATTATTCATACCTATTCTTTTTTCCTTCCTGCAAATTTTTTTTGAATGGCTCTTGTGCACCAAAGATGATTGCGAACAAGATTGAAATTGACAAGCTCAACGACTCTGATCAGCCTTGGACTGCCATTATCACTGTTGAGGAGAAGTAAAATCCATTCGGCCACTACAACAAAACCCAAAAGATGGTATTCAGCGATGAAAATGTGAATTACATTATCTATATTTGTTAGTTGTCATACTAATTTTTATCTCACATATTCATAATATAATATTTGATTTATTATTGTAGGGTGCTAAAGTAGAAGGTATTATGTTCGGACAGGCCATCAGCATCATGGGACCACGATTCCAGAGGTGTAGAAAATACCGAGTCTCCAACGCACCTATCCGGTACATTAAACCAGAGTATAGGTCTCCTGGTCTTTCCAACAATGGGTCATTGGTATTGGGACAGATGTTGAAGAGGTTAATGAACCTATTACT